AATACTAACATCCTACATTATAAAAATACTATAGTAATTTATGGAAATGCAACTATTGGAGAATTTGTAATCTGTAAAGAATAAACTAAAATATTGAGAAAAAGTGCCTTTAAATTTGTCTTAATGAAGTGCTCTTAATCCACATGAAAAATTAAGTTGTGATATCATTACAGAGGAAAATTTACCAAGAAAAAAAAATAATAATATTAGGTCACATTTATTTCTTTACTTGATATTCTAATAAGTTTTGGCATAGAAGAAAATTTGACATTTTTATATTTATTTATATTCTATTAATCTCTGTTGACAATTAATCTCTGTATGGGTCAACAATGTATATTTTAATCTGTTAAAATAAATAATATTTAACGATGATGAAATAATTGAAAAACTAATTTATAAAATCTCTTGCATTATTATTATTTTCCTGTTCTCTAATTGCATTTACTAAAAGACTCAAGAAATATTTCATTAAAAACTTCAAAACATCAGTGACAAAAATGGCATGCACTTTTTAAATGTTTGTACAAAGAATATTTAAATATATATATATGTGTGTATTTATAGCCAATAATGGAAGTAAATGAAGTAGTCTTAAGTTTAAAGGTTAGAAAAAATATAGATAAGTTGGTAGTTTACATCATAGACATTATAACGCTTTACTCTATGTATTAGCATAGCAGCTGAATTGTCACAACAGATTCATTCAATTACTATAGTATCGTTCAAAAACATTACAGAGTTTCCTGTAAATCCCCATTGTAATTATTTTATGTGGGCTCTTTAAGCATTTAAGAACAGAAGCATCAGTTCACCACGGCGCATCCATCACATCAACCCTGCCCTCATTTCCCAGCCAGTAGAGTAGAGTTTAAAGTAGAGTTGAATAGAGTTTATCAATGTGGCACCTGACCCACCTGAGCTCAGCAGGACAGGTAAGATCACATAGTTTCTCTGAGGAAACTCTCTCTGCAAACTAGTCCTGCGGTGTCTTCAAGTAACAAGTTTGGCGAGTGGTTTTGTAAGAGCCACAGGTTTCCAGTAAGACTCTCTCTTCACCTCACGGGTTTCATGGTAAGTGTGTTTTTATTCAATATACGTCAGATGTGTGTTTTAAAAGACTTTTATTTAGTGCTGAGCTGCACAACGTGAACTAATCGCCTTTTATTGATAACGTTATCAACAGTGTTTACCAAAACATCGCGTATGTTAGCGTATCTGTGTAACGTTACGTAAGCTAGCCTGGGGTTGTAAACAAAGCGGAGATTTTGGAGATTTAATTTAGAAGGAATATATAGGATTTCTTTCTTTCTTTTTTTTTACCATGACTTCTTTTTGATTTACTTTTCTTCCAACAAATAATGTATATTAATTTTACTACTTGTCTTCCTTGTAACACTCTTAGCTGCCTGCTTGAAATACTATAATGTATAGTAAACGCTAGTGTTTTTGTAACATATATGTATAGTGTCCCTGCTGAAAAATCCAGGTTAAACCAGCCTAGGATGGTTGGCTAGTTTTAGCTGATCGACCAGCCTGGTTTTAGAGGGGTTTTGGCCACTTGAGCCTGGTTTTAGCTGGACAGGCTGGGAGATGACCAGCTAAAACCATCTTGACCAGCCTAGTCAGGTTGAGAGCCCAGCCAAAACCAGCTATATTCTGCTTAAACCGGGATGGTCAAGTTGATTTTAGCTGGTCACTTTCCAGCCTGACCAGCTTGGACCAGGCTGG